AGGTTCAATGTAATTACCGTTAATCCGTTCTGGCGTCCGCGGACCATGCGTCAGGGGTGGGAAAACGGCCGGACGCCATGCGGCAGGGCGGGAAAATAGCCGGGCGCCACGCGGCAGGGCAGGAAAATGGCCACGGACCACGTGTCAGGGGCGTAAAAATGGCCACGGTCCACATGTCAGGGCGTAAAAATGACCGTACCCCGAGGCGGAGTTTGCACATCGAGGTAAATTTTTGCGGCCGGAGCTGGTTGTAACCCAAAAAGTTTGTTGGTAGAGGCGTTCGTATCCCGAGGTACCACTGTATTTCTTTCCCCCTCACATACAAAGAAGAAAGTCATTCTGCTACAGGTTAGGAAAAGAAACTCATAAGCATATAAAGGATTAACTTCCCCTGCCATCTTCATCTAATGTATTTTAATTTAGAGTTTATTAAATTTATAAGCCACCCAATTCCATTGTGATTCTGTGTGGTGTACAATATATAACATTTAAATCAAACAATCCACACACTGCAAAATACAAAAAGAACGTCTGGAGATAACCACCACCATCTCACAAATCAACAACTCACAAGGGGCCTACCACTCACTGTAGCCCCAGTCCTGAGAAAAGAGCCAGATCTTAAGAGCTCATCTAAATAATATCAGGGTAGGGCCAGTATGAATTTCTGAAAGGATTTCATCTCAGAGGGCAGGTGTTACAGTAGAGAAGGGTCACTTCCTGGGTCTCATGAGTTGACAACACTTAAACAATGGGACCCAGAGCCTGCTAAGTCTACTGGATCATATAGGATGGACAGTAACTAGGTCACCTGGAAGTGGCTTTTTTGTTTAAAAATTTGCTGCTAGGAGAAATACCTAGCTTTGTTCTAAAAACAGGAGTATAATCAAACTCAATTAACCTTTTCCATAATATCAGCTTTCCATAACATAAGATTTCCAAATGTTTTGGTCAATAGTTGACGATGGAAACTGTAGCTCAAGTATCTGTAGTCATTATATTGAGGAAATCTAACCTAGATTGTTTTTCTTCCTATATAGCATACACAGTGGTGCTTAAAAGTTTGTGAACCCTTTCGAATTTTCAATATTTCTGCATCCATATGACTTAAAACATTATTTGTTCTCCCCACATATCCTGAAACTTGATAAAGAGAACCCAGTTAAACAAATGAGTCAAAAACATTTTATTTGTTCCTGTATTTGTTATTGAGGAAAATGATCCAAAGCTACATATTTGTGGCAAAGGTATGTGAACCTTTGCTTTCAGTAACTAGTGCGCCCCTCTTGGAAAGCAATAACTGCAACTAAACATTTCCAATAACTGTTGATCAGTACTGCACATTGGCGTGGAGGAATTTTAGTCCATTCCTTCTTACAGAATAGCTGCCACTCAGGGATGCTGGTAGGCTTCCTTGCATGAACTGCCCATTTCAGGTCCTTCCATAACATTTCTATAGGATTAAGGTTAGGACTTTGACTTGGCCATTCTAAGACATTAACTTTCTTCTGCTTTACATTCTTTGGTGGTACAACTTGTATGCTTTGGGTCATTGTCTTGCTGCATGACCCACTTTCTCTTGAGCTTCAGTTCACAGACAAATACTGACATTTTCCTATAGAATTTGCTGGTACAATTCAGAATTCATAATTCCATCAATGATGGCAAGCCGTCCTGGTCCAGAGACAGCAAAACAGGCCCAAACCATGATACTGCCACCCCTATGTTTCACAGATGGCATAACATTCTTATGCTGGAACGCAGTGTTTGCCTCTCATCAAACATAACACTTTCCATTCAAGCTTAAAAGGTCTATTTTGGTCTCATCTGTCTACAGAACATTCTCCCAATAGCCTTCTGGTTCATCCCTGTGGTCTTTTGCAAACTGTAGACTAGCAGCAATGTTCTTTTTGAGGAGTAGTGGCTTTCTTCCTGTAACCCTACCATGCACACCATTGTTGTTCAATATTCTCCTGATGGTGGCCTCATGAACACTGACATTCGCCAATGCAAGAGAGATCTTTAGTTCCTTAGATGTTACCCTGGACTTCTTTGAGACCTCCTGGAGTATTACACACCTTGGTCTTGGTGTAATCTTGGTTGGTTGACCATTCCTGGGGAGAGTAACAATGATGTTCAAATGCTTCCATTTGTACACAATCTGCCTGACAGTGGACTGCTAGAGTCCAAATTCTTTCAAAATAGTTCTATAACCTTTTCCAGCCTGGTGAGCATCAACAACTGTTTTTCGGAGGTCCTCAGAAATCTCCTTTGTTCGAGCCATGAC